TTTTAATTTAGTTATTTTAATGCTTTAAAGAGAAATTTTAGATTGCAATGTTCTAATGTTCTGCTATCTGTTCTGCAAAGGTACAGCTGTCATAAAACCAGAGAGAGCCTTTCTGCTTGGCTAGAAACTGTAAAAAAAAAAAAGTTGCACTGTAACAGCTCTAACACTGTTCCTATTGGTCAGTGTTAGAGGAACTCAGCTTAGTCTGACAGTTAACCTGCTTTAGACCAGGTTAGTTTCCCAGCATACGTTGCCACAGAAGTTGATCTATGTTAAATTTGCTTTATGGAACCAAATCATTTGACAATGAGTCAGACTAACTGAAATAAGCCTGGCTTATTTGGTAAACTTGTTTTATGAAACAGGCCTTGAGGCATTAAAGTGATCATATTTTCTCCATTGCATCGTATTGTCTCGAATCGCATTGTGTTGAATCGAAATGGGATCGCACTGCATCGTAATAGGGGTTAATCATATCGCATCGCATCAGTAGCTGCTTCATATGTATCTTTAATGTATCGTATCGTTGGCTATGCATCGAGATGCGTATCGTATCGGCCTCAGTCATGAGATGCACATCCCTAATACATATACATACTTATATACGTTGCTTATATACATTTATAAACATCTCTACTGTCACTTTTGATGAATTTAATGCATCTTTGCTGAATAAAAGTATTCATTTATAGCAAAAAAAATTATTTTACTGACCCCAAACTTTTAAACCGTATATTCCACAAAAAAATATGCCTTAGCAAACACCACTAAAACATTAAAAAAAAGGAAAAAAAATTGTAATACAATTTTTAAGTCTCTAAATCTACACTTATGATGTTATAACTATTAATATGATGTTGAGATCCAGTGAAAAAGAAACAAGGTTATTTGGTGCCATTTTAAATTGTGGGTTAATGTGAAAAGAGATGGCAAAAGATCCGCCAAAATCCGACAGCTCTGGTCACTTTAATTGGACCCTGTGGGCAATAAATCATATGCACGGCATATTAACCCTGTAACCCAGTTTTTAACCAGTCCACTTTGTATCAGGGTTAGAAACCTTGCTAGTGTTGACTACCCATAGTAAAAAAAATAAAAAATTTATATCTCAATTGTTTCTAATAAAAAGAAGTGTGATTAAACTCAGACCATATGGCCACTTTTGTTGAAGTCTTCGGCTTCTCAGATGTTTCTCTTTTGGAATGACCTTTTTTCCACAAATGCTAAAGATACAATGTGTCTTATTTCCTTCCGCAGCTGAGCTTAGAGAAGAAATGGCAGATGAATGCTTCCTGTACGGTGGAGTGTCCAGTCAACTGCCAGCTGTCTGATTGGTCAGCATGGTCAGACTGCTCACAGACCTGTGGCCTTGAAGGTAAAGCCAAATACTGTATAAGACTTCTTACTGCGGTGTTAAATGTGTTTGTCATATACATTTCCGTTCAAAAGTTTGGGGTCAGTTAGATTTTGTAATGCTTTTAAAAGAAGTCTCATATGCTCATTAAAGCTGCATTTATTTAATCAAAATACATTAAAACAGTAATATTGTGAAATATTATTGCTATTTACTATAACTATTTTCTATGTTAATATATGTTAACATGTAATTTATTCCTGTGATGCAAAGCTGAATTTTCAGCATCATGACTCCAGTCTTCAGTGTCACATGATCCTTCAGAAATCATTCTAATATGCTGATTTGCCGTTCAAGAAACATTTCTGATTATTATCAATGTTCAAAACAGTTGTGCTGCTTCATATTTTTGTGGAAACTGTGATACGTTGTTTTTTTCCCCCCAGGATTTAATGAATGGAAAGTTCAAAATAACAGCATTTCTTTGAAATAGAAATCGTTTGTAATATAAATACCTTTACTGTCACTTTTGATCAATTTAATGCATCCTTGCTGAATGAAAATGATTAATTTCTTAAAAAAAAAAAAAAACATCTTACGGTCTCCAAACTTCTGAATAATGGTATTAGTCTCAACCCAATATAGTTGATCATAAAATTAGAAAACACATCAAAATAGCAAGCTCAAATCAAATTTTCTGCCTGAAGTGCAACTTTAAAGTAAAGGACAATAAAGCAAAACAATTATCTTGGTGTCGTTATAGTGCCATGCTCACCTGAGACTAGGTAAGTATGTAGGCTGTAAAACTGAGCTTCTAGAAAAATAGAAGAAAGACAGCATTGGAGAATGGAGCTAGAATTCAGAAACACAAAATGAAATGGTGAACTTTGTGAAAGTACTGTTCAGCGAAAATAGATGGAAGCGCTAGATAGAAACGGGCAGTCTTCCTGCCAAACACTTCCAAGATAAGGCAGAAAAAGCAGAGCGAGACAAAAGGCAGTGCATTGTATGCAGTTTTATGCTAAACACATGTGGGATGAGCTAGAGAGTTATCTGAGACTGCCGTGCCTTGAGCTAGAAACTGAAAGATGAGTGTGTGGAGTTGTGTGTGCATGCGTGCAGAGCACCAAATATGTCAAAAACAGGTTCAGCTCATAGTTCACTCTGAAAACTCTAAACTTTTGGGAATTTCTTTTACTCATATAATATTCACTATCATTCAAAAGTTAGTTTTTTTTTATTTATTTAATTTTATTTAAAGAAATTAGCTATTTCATTCAGCAATTTATCAAAAGTGACAGCAATGGCATTTGTAATGTTACAAACTATTTCTATTTCAAATATATGCTGTTCTTTTGAACTTTCTATTCCAAGAATCTGGGGGGAAAAGTATCTGGTTTCCACAAAAAAAAAAAAAAAAAAAAAAAAAAAAAAAAAAAAAAAAAAAAAAAAAATTAAGCAGCACAACTGTTTTTAACATCAATTATAATAAGAAATGTGTCTTGAGCAGGAAATCAACATATTAGAATGATTTCTGAAGGATCATGTGACTGAAGACTGGAGTCATGATGCTGAAAATTCAGCTTTGCATCACAGGAATAAATTACATTTGAACATATATTCAAATAGAAAACTTATTTTAAATGTAAATATTTTTTACTGTATTTTTGATCAAAGACCCTTCTTTCAAAAACATTAAAGAAATCATATTGACCCCAAACCTTTGTGAAAAATCTCCTTTAAATGTATCACACACACACACACACAAACTATCATATAATTGTATTATATAATCATATAAATGTATTACTACATTAAAGTGCCCCTATTATGCCTTTTCAAATATTACCTTTCATGCAGTGTGTCATGTAGCTGTATGTGAACATAAACTATCTGCAAAGTTGTGAAGCCGACAGTGCACGATAAATAAAGTTATTGTCTATCAAAAAAAAGAGGGACGCAATCGCCTAAACGAGTCGTCAGGAATTCGAATCTTATTCTGTTACGGCTCTACGTCACGAAGTAACACATTTGCATAATGTCCGCCCACGTTCTACGTCACCAACTTGCCCGCCGACAAAAACAGTCAGACGGCTCTGGACCAATCACAAAGGACTGCACCATCTGACCAATCACAGCAGTGAGATCTCACGGAAAGGAGGGGTTTAGAGAGACTGATTCTTTGAACTGCTTCGCACGAGTCGTTTACGAATCATTTAGAAATTAGGTAAAACTAAATCTATTTTTTGAGAAAACTAACGTGCTTTTTAACCTCGCATGCATGTAAACCTGTTTTAGGAGACTCATAAAACAATATTAGCAACCTAAAAAATTGCGTAATAGGGGCACTTTAAATTGTATTGTTCTCTGTTTGGAACTCAAACTAATTTCTCTGTCTTATGTCTCAATTCCTCAGGGAAGATGTGGCGCAGACGGACGGTGGTTGAGGCGTCTCAGGGGGATGGCAGACCGTGTCCGTCTCAGATGGAGCAGTGGAAGCCGTGTCCTGTGCGACCCTGTTACAGATGGCAGTACGGCCCGTGGTCCGAGTGCCGTGTTGAGGTCTTTTTCAATTCTTATAGATCAAACGGCTGAATGTAAATTCACAGATCAGAGTTCATTAAATTTGAACTTAAGCACTGCATTCCCATTAAGAAAAAAAAATCAAAGTTTGGTGAACTCGGACTTGCAAAGGTTCTAGGTCAAGTCTATATTTCACAATTCATGTTTTTGTGCATTTTTCTCACTGAAAGTCTTTAGAAAAACAAATAGTCAATGTCAAACAATCCACACTAAGGTTCACAATACTACCACATTCAAATGTTTGGGGTCGGTAAGATTTTTTAACAAAAAGTCTGCTCACCAAGCCTGCATAAAATACAGTAAAAACAGTAATATTATAAAATATTATTACAATTTAAAATAAATGTTTTCTATTTGAATATATTTTAAAATGTAATTTATTTCTGTGATCAAAGCTGAATTTTTAGCACCATTACTCCAGTCTTCAGTGTCACAAGATCCTTCAGAAATCATTCTAATATGCTAATTTGCTGCTCAAGAAACATTTCATATTATCAATGTTAAAAACAGTTGTGCTGTTTAATATTTTTGTGGAAATTATGCATTTTTTTAGGATTCTTTGATGAATATAAGGTTCAAAATTTTTCTTCTGCTGATCTCTATTGTGACTCATGAAATTTAAACATGTTTATTGAACTGTGTTGTAAAATGCTAAACACCTCAGTCGCCCAACGGCACACGCTCTGAATGCGTTAACGACCCGCGCTGGAACTCCTCGCTCTTCCAACACCTTGGTTTCCAATCTCGCTGTCAACCTCGTCTTCTCTTCTATTATTCTCTCTGATCCTCCTCCGTTTCAATCCTGCTTTTGATCTTTGGATTTAGGAAGTGTTTATGACTGCTCGGCGCTCACATCTGAACCTCTGTGTGTGTGTGTGTGTGTGTGTGTGTTGTAGGAGGTGGTGTGCGGGGTGGGACTGCGTTTCCGAAACCTGTCATGCTTTGTATCAGACGGCTCCGGCGATGGGAAGAGCAGCATTGTAGAGGATGAGCTCTGTGCTGGATTGGAGCAGGCCGTCGACGGAGATAAAAATATTATTTTGGAGGAGACCTGCACTTTACCCTGCCCTGGTAACAGACTAAAATCACACAGGATACTTGATCTGTGAGGCCATCATTGCATGCAAACTTATTGGGGAAAAGCTATGCATAGATAGATAGATAGATAGATAGATAGATAGATAGATATCTGTAACTAGCATAGCATCTGTCTGAAACATGCGAGCAATGTGATGATACCAGCAACTTCATAGCAACACTCTAGCAACCATCCAAACCAACCTAGCAACCACCCCAAGTACCCTAGCAACCTATCTATCTATCTATCTATCTATCTATCTATCTATCTATCTATCTATCTATCTATCTGTCTGTCTGTCTGTCTGTCTATATATAATTTATCATCTGTCTATCTATCTACAGGTATCTATCCATCCATCCATCCCTCTCTCTCTCTCTCTCTCTCTCTCTGTTTTTTCTAATAGCCTGTATTGCCGTCAAAACAGTCAAACTGTAATATTTAAAGCTACTTCAAACCGACAACTTTCAAACTTTCTGTTCTGGCTTTCTCAAGCCCACTTCACTTTGTCTTGACAAACTTTTTTTATCTAGTTCAACTTAATTTCTTATAAATATTTACTTATACAGCAATATTGCTGCTTGTTGCTGCTTTCTATTCAGTTTTGCAATTACAGGTTTGTGTGTTTTTTTTGGTTTTATTTAATGTAATATACATTTTTCATTTCAGGTTTAATGCTGTCACCCTGTGTGAGATCTTCATTGTTTTTGTGCTACATGTGTTTTCAAATATATAATTTAATAACTGTGTAATCTAAAAAATATTACACCCTTAAATAGCGCTAATGTACTTCTCTGCTTTTTAAATATGTTATAATGTAGCTAACTTTCCTACAAGGGCAGACTGACTACATTTGAACTATATAAAAAAAAAGTTGTTGCATAGCAGACTACCGTTTACAGGAACCTCATCTTCTGCTGTTATCAGTGTTGTGAATTAAATGTAAAGCTACTTCAGATGACTCTGTTGATCTGTTCAGGTGACTGTTACCTGATGGAGTGGTCCGACTGGAGCCCGTGTCAGAGTGTGTGTGTGAAGGGTCAGCGTTTGGACTTCACTCCGGTGCAGGTCCGTTCACGTGCCGTCATTGCACAGGAACCAGAGAACATCGCTCAGTGCCCCGATCAGGAGTGGCAGTCCCGGCCCTGCAGCAGTGAGAAACATGCTCCTCCTCTCTCATTTGCATAAAGACACTGCTTTACTCTGATGTTATTCAACATGAATCATTTTAAGAATTTAACATTTAATATTTAACACATATCGTTTGTTTTAAAATGGCATCACCTTAGCGAAAGAAGTACACTTGAGCATACATATATAAAGAGTACTTATTATGGAAATAATATACTTTGTGATGTAATCTTTCAGGACACTCTATTGCATGTTAATTGTGGTGTGCGGGGTGGGACTGCGTTTCCGAAACCTGTCATGCTTTGTATCAGATGGCTCCGGCGATGGGAAGAGCAGCATTGTAGAGGATGAGCTCTGTGCTGGATTGGAGCAGGCCGTCGACGGAGATAAAAATATTATTTTGGAGGAGACCTGCACTTTACCCTGCCCTGGTAACAGACTAAAATCACACAGGATACTTGATCTGTGAGGCCATCATTGCATGCAAACTTATTGGGGAAAAGCTATGCATAGATAGATAGATAGATAGATAGATAGATAGATAGATAGATAGATAGATAGATAGATAGATAGATAGATAGATAGATAGATAGATAGATAGATATCTGTAACTAGCATAGCATCTGTCTGAAACATGCGAGCAATGTGATGATACCAGCAACTTCATAGCAACACTCTAGCAACCATCCAAACCAACCTAGCAACCACCCCAAGTACCCTAGCAACCTATCTATCTATCTATCTATCTATCTATCTATCTATCTATCTATCTATCTATCTATCTATCTATCTATCTATCTGTCTGTCTGTCTGTCTGTCTATATATAATTTATCATCTGTCTATCTATCTACAGGTATCTATCCATCCATCCATCCCTCTCTCTCTCTCTCTCTCTCTCTCTGTTTTTTCTAATAGCCTGTATTGCCGTCAAAACAGTCAAACTGTAATATTTAAAGCTACTTCAAACCGACAACTTTCAAACTTTCTGTTCTGGCTTTCTCAAGCCCACTTCACTTTGTCTTGACAAACTTTTTTTATCTAGTTCAACTTAATTTCTTATAAATATTTACTTATACAGCAATATTGCTGCTTGTTGCTGCTTTCTATTCAGTTTTGCAATTACAGGTTTGTGTGTTTTTTTTGGTTTTATTTAATGTAATATACATTTTTCATTTCAGGTTTAATGCTGTCACCCTGTGTGAGATCTTCATTGTTTTTGTGCTACATGTGTTTTCAAATATATAATTTAATAACTGTGTAATCTAAAAAATATTACACCCTTAAATAGCGCTAATGTACTTCTCTGCTTTTTAAATATGTTATAATGTAGCTAACTTTCCTACAAGGGCAGACTGACTACATTTGAACTATATAAAAAAAAAGTTGTTGCATAGCAGACTACCGTTTACAGGAACCTCATCTTCTGCTGTTATCAGTGTTGTGAATTAAATGTAAAGCTACTTCAGATGACTCTGTTGATCTGTTCAGGTGACTGTTACCTGATGGAGTGGTCCGACTGGAGCCCGTGTCAGAGTGTGTGTGTGAAGGGTCAGCGTTTGGACTTCACTCCGGTGCAGGTCCGTTCACGTGCCGTCATTGCACAGGAACCAGAGAACATCGCTCAGTGCCCCGATCAGGAGTGGCAGTCCCGGCCCTGCAGCAGTGAGAAACATGCTCCTCCTCTCTCATTTGCATAAAGACACTGCTTTACTCTGATGTTATTCAACATGAATCATTTTAAGAATTTAACATTTAATATTTAACACATATCGTTTGTTTTAAAATGGCATCACCTTAGCGAAAGAAGTACACTTGAGCATACATATATAAAGAGTACTTATTATGGAAATAATATACTTTGTGATGTAATCTTTCAGGACACTCTATTGCATGTTAATTGTAATTATATGTATTATAGTTTAAATTTATATTAAATGCAATTATATGAACTTAAGAGGTTTTTTGACCCACTTAAGTAGGATATAAGTATAACTTTATATGTGCAGTAATTGCATAATTACTTGAAGCATTTATGCTGAACTAAAATATACTTTGTCATTTCTACGGAAATGTGTAAGTCATGTGTTTAAATATGTATAGTTACAATTAGTTGCGATTTAGTTCATTTGAAAATTTTAACTTTTAAATGTAACATCAAACAACAAACTACACTTAAAATTATAATAAAGTACTTTACACATGCTTTAGTACGTTAGTCAACACATCAAAATAACTATACTACTTTAAAGCACAACAAAACAATTAAAACAAAATGATTTTTTAAAAAAGCTTTAAAATGAAACTTTTAATGACATTGTTAGAAAGTGTACTGTGCATAAATGTGTTGAGAAACATGAAAGTGTACTCTCTGCAAGTGTACTTACATAATATTATTGCCTATAATATTAATGCAATAAAAGTGCCTTTTATTGCATTAATATTATATTATCTGCAAGTACAGTTTTTAAAAATGTACTGTTCAGATTTAAAGTACACTACAAGTGCAGATTCAATACAATTAAGCATATTTCTTTTTCACAATAGCATGTATATATTTATGTGCATGTATTTAAGAATTTGACATGAAATGCTGTTGGATGTCTGCGGCCTGATTTGTTACAAACGCATTCTCTTTTAAAGGCATGGTTCACCCAAAAATGAAATTTGTGTCATAATGTATTCACCCTCCACTTGTTCCAAACCCGTATGAGTTTCTTTCTTCTGTTGAACACAAAAGAAGATATTTTGAAGAATGTAGCCATAGACTTTCATATTATTATTTTTTTCCATACTGTGGAAGTCAGTGGCTATCGTCAACCATGCACTTGGTTCACATTTTGGACCATTTTAATAGTTTTGGTACTTTTAAATAAGATTGTATGAAAACACCTTTATCAGGTCTCTCTACACCTGTGACGTGTACGGCTGCAGAATGTATATTTATTCTCTTGATTTCCATCTAGTTGGTGAGTGTTATGAGTACCAGTGGATGGGCAGTCCTCAGCCGATCTGGTGTCAGCGCTCAGATGGAATAAACGTCACAGGTGCTATACTACACCGCTTCACATCTGTTTCTTTAAGTCACATGAATGAGCAGCTGACGAGGAATTGCAGATGCCAATACATGTTATATGTATGTACATACAGAATAAAGCAATGAGTACATCTTAGGTCCTATCAGCCTTTTTTGGTAATTTTTTTTGCCACTTTTAAATGCCTTTTTGCCTTCACTAGGTCATGTTTAATGGTCCTGCGGTGTGATTTTATGTAGCTTATGCATAAATGAGCTCATGAAAGCTGCTTGCATAATAATTATAAATGAATTAGCAAAGTGCTCTTTTAAATACAGTGGTTTTAGATGGAGTATATTATCATGACACACTACAGAACATGTAGGAGACTCTGATACCAGCATCTATGCAGTATATACTGTAATATGTATATTGTGCAAAAGATGCCCATCGTGTGAAACTACTAGCACATATGCCCATTTCTAACTTTCTGCCGAATGGAGTTGTTGTCAAAAGCTTGAAAATGATCTGTGCCCTGTTATTTCTTCCAGGTGGATGCCCTCCAGTGCTCCTGCCAGGGACGGACCAGTCATGTGATCCACCTTGTGACAAACCACAGACATTCTGCTCAGAGGTAAGACACAAGAGGACTGTGGGATTACGGTAATTCTGAGCCTGGGTGTCTGTAACTGCAGACAGTTGCTCCAGCTGCAATTATCATAATGAATGCAACAGAAAATCATGGTCGTAAGCTGTGCTTTTGTTTTTATTTTCGGATATAGTTGATCTATATTTTTGAAGCATACTCAATGAACTTTTTATATGCTTGCTAGACTCATTTTAATAATTTTAAGATTAGAATTATTGCATACAAAATCATGGCTGCTCAAATGATGTAATGCTTCTAGTGAATTTTTGAATTGTGCATGCTTTATAGAATAATTTTACTCACAATCCCTTGCACAAAGGAGGAAGAGGAGTTTGTGGATGTTTTCTTTCCACTAGGGATGGGGGATAATATTTATTTCTCTTGTAAATAGAGTACTGAAGGGATCATGTATTTTTGTAGGCCAGTGCGGAAGTTAGCGTCATCCTGGTTCCCTCTGCAAAAACTCAACATATTTTTTCCATTGGCTTTTGGATTACTGCAGAAAATAAGTTCTGTGACCAACAAAAGCTTATGATTCTTAGACATTTTGTTCAACAAGATGCAATCACCAGAAGTAAAAAGCTATAAATGAACTATACCACGGTCACATGACTTTAACATCACCATCACTAAGCTTCTGACAACTCTTGGAAAGTTGGAGAGTTAGAATATATTGCAAGAGCATGATTATAAACCCAACAAGGTTGTAAAAGCAGACTAGTGAGTAGATGAGTTTACCTGTTTGGCGTGACGGCGTTTAATGACTCCAACAACCTCTGTAGTTCCATTTGGCCATTTATTAGCAACCGCATTATTTAAAACATGTAAAATCACAAGTGGGGTATTACTGATGTATTTCATGTCATCTTAAACGTGTTAACCACAAACACTTATTTCAGGCATTTAATCAAAAACCATTAAAAAAAAAACATTGACTTTGAGACAATGGAACTGGGAGTGCAAAAATGTCTGGGGTTTAGGACTCTATTGGGTGTGTGAATTGGGTCACAAGCCTTGAGAGCAAGCAGAAAGCATGATCTTATTTGTGTGTTTTTGCTGCCCCCTGCAGGAGGGCGTATGTATGTGTGAGGAGGGCTATACTGAGGTGCTGACGGCCGAGGGGACGCTGGAGCAGTGTACACCCATCCCTGTGCTCGAAATCCCCACTGCAGGGGACAAGAAATCTGATGTGAAGACCAGCCGGGCCATCAACACCACCCTGCCCACCACGGTACAGCCTGGCCGTGTCGGACGCACCTGGTACCTGCAACCCTTTGGACCAGGTAAATGTTTCATTTCCATTTCTTTAGTCCAGTATCTCTTAAACATATTTTAATAGTGCTGGTTTAAGTTCTCTTAGGAAATTATATTACTCAGCAAACACTTTTTAAGTAATCTTTATCAGTCAACAATGAATCAATTTTACGGAAGTTTGTTTTAGACATGGGATTTTAAAAAAAAAGAAAAAAGTTTATATCTTGCAATTCTGGCTTCTTTTTTTCTTCTTCTCTGAATTCTGATTTTGCATGTTGTGATCATTTTTCCACCACAAAAAAGGCCAGAATTGTGTGATATTTAATTCTAAGGAAAAAATAATTAAGATGTCAATTCAGAATTCAGAGAAAAAAATCTGAAATGCAAGATGTAAAATGAGAATTCTAAAGCAAAATGTTAGAATTGCAAGATGTAAACTCCCAATTACAATGTTATAACTTGCAATTGTGAGATATAAACTCGAATTTCTGAGAAAAAGTAAGCATTGTGAGATATTTCCGTGGTAGGGAAAAAAAAGGAACTGTGAGATGTAAACTCAAAATTGCTAGTTTAGAACGTGCAATTGCAAGATATAAACTTGCAATTCGAAGAAAAAAAGTCACAATTGTGAGAGATAAACTGAATTCTAAATAAAAAAGTCAGAATTGCGAAATATAAACTCACAATTACTAGTTTAGAACTTGTGATTGTGAGATATAAACTATTTGCAAGGAAAAAATTGAATTGTGAGATAAAAAGATTAAATTTTTTTAGTATTTCAACATTATAGATGTAAAATGAGAATTCTAAAGCAAAATGTTAGAATTGCAAGATGTAAACTCCCAATTACAATGTTATAACTTGCAATTGTGAGATATAAACTCGAATTTCTGAGAAAAAGTAAGCATTGTGAGATATTTCCGTGGTAGGGAAAAAAAAGGAACTGTGAGATGTAAACTCAAAATTGCTAGTTTAGAACGTGCAATTGCAAGATATAAACTTGCAATTCGAAGAAAAAAAGTCACAATTGTGAGATATAAACTGAATTCTAAATAAAAACGTCAGAATTGCAAAATATAAACTCACAATTACTAGTTTAGAACTTGTGATTGTGAGATATAAACTATTTGCAAGGAAAAAATTGAATTGTGAGATAAAAAGATTAAATTTTTTTAGTATTTCAACATTATACAGTTTTACATTTTGCTTCAGTTTAATGGCCTGTGCTAAAAAATCTCTTGCCTCTTCAGATGGAAAGCTGAAGACGTGGGTGTATGGCGTGGCGGCAGGTGTCTTTGTCCTTCTGGTATTTATAGTGTCGATGATTTACCTCGCATGGTAAGAAAGACAACCCTTTCCATTCGCTTCATCACTCGTTTTATTTTCCCATTCACTCCATGCATTCGTTTGGTTCTGTTTTTCTTTAACTTACACCCCACCCTCATCCATGCCTCCCTCGCCGAGAGCAGCAGTTACTGTGCCATCCAGCGGTCGCTCAGGACGCCAGATTCTGCCAACGGTATGATGGTATGGATGGGCCAAGACGCCCATGAGCTGACATACACCTGCCCTGAGTGCCAGCAGCCGAGTCAAGAGCCAGTTAAAGGCTGGAGAAACAGGCTCCTGATGTCCTGACATCTCAGCCCCCTCTGCCTAGTGCCTCCACCTCAGTCTGTGCCTTACGATCTGATGCTAAACGCATCAAGCTGCCCGGGTAGGCTGTTTATTTATGCTTTACTGGTTTAGAAAAAGCTCTGTTGCAAAACCTAGTTGGCTGCTTTGGTTCCTACTGCCTGCATAGTGTCTTTTAAACATGGTTATTATCAGTAAATAAAACTAAAACCATTTTTTTTAATTACACAAAATTAGTGTTAATTTCTATGGAAAATTTTTTATTTTTTTTTCTATAAGACAACACCATTAAACACTGTGACGGTCAAATGCAATATCTTGTACACGACTAAAATGTAGTTTAAAAACTAAAAACTCTCTATATCCATATACTGTATATAAGCCAAGACGCCCATGAGCTGACATACACCTGCCCTGAGTGCCAGCAGCCGAGTCAAGAGCCAGTTAAAGGCTGGAGAAACAGGCTCCTGATGTCCTGACATCTCAGCCCCCTCTGCCTAGTGCCTCCACCTCAGTCTGTGCCTTACGATCTGATGCTAAACGCATCAAGCTGCCCGGGTAGGCTGTTTATTTATGCTTTACTGGTTTAGAAAAAGCTCTGTTGCAAAACCTAGTTGGCTGCTTTGGTTCCTACTGCCTGCATAGTATCTTTTAAACAGGGTTATTATCAGTAAATAAAACTAAAACCATTTTTTTTAATTACACAAAATTAGTGTTAATTTCTATGGAAAAAATATTATTATTTTTTCTATAAGACAACACCATTAAACACTGTGACGGTCAAATGCAATATCTTGTACACGACTAAAATGTAGTTTAAAAACTAAAAACTCTCTATATCCATATACTGTATATAAAAAAAATAGAGATAGAACAACTATAAAAGAAATATAGACCTACACAAATTTTTCACACTTGAGGTTGCCAGATGTCAAGTTTAAATCCCCCTATTAGAGCTTTTCTCTTAAAGGGGTCATATGATGCTATTTTAAAGATCATTATTTTTTGTATTTGGTGTAACAGATTATGTTGACATGCTTTAATGTTCAAAAAACACATTATTTTTCAAATACTGTACATTATTGAAGGTCCTCTGTGCCCCGCCTCTCTCAAACGCGTAGTTTTCAACAAAGCCCCCTCCTTTGACAAGCGCAGTCTGCTCTGATTGGCCACCTGACCCAGTGCATTGTGATTGGCCGAACACCACAAGCACGCGTCGGAAATGTAACGCCCCTTATCATAATCGCGAGCTTCAGCTTTCAAAGTAAAAATCATGACAGTTAATAATCTCGTTAGTTTTACCATCAGTGTAAGCCCGAAAGGGTAACAGAGTCATGTGACAGACACAGTGATGCTGCAGTACACAAGCCTCGGTTAAGAGCCCCTTACCATAATCGCGAGCTTCAGCTTTCAAAGTAAAAATCATGACAGTTAGTAATCTCGTTAGTTTTACCATCAGTGTAAGCCCGAAAGGGCAACAGAGTCGCGTGACAGACACAGTGATGATGCAGTACACAAGCCGCGGTTAAGGCCGCTGATGTGCTATGATTTCTGACAGACAGTTCACTCTCCTGCGATGTTCCCCTCACACACACACACACACACACAACGCGTTACTCTGCGCAAAACTCCGCATTTGAACAGTCACTAGCAAATACTTAAACTAATAACAAAACATACTTACAGTCGCTGATTCAGAAGCGCCAGATTGTCATAGCAAAGTCGGAATTTACCCTTTTTTTTTATTTTTTAGAAATAGCCTTTGTGCACAGCCAGCCTTGTACTCTTATAGGTTAAAAAAACTGTCATCCATAAAATGCGTTGCACAAATTCGAACATCTGGGTTGTGCTGTTCTGTTGTAAATAAATCTTAACCAATGATTCCTAATTGCTTCTACTTCCGGAAGGCCAAATAAAGTGCTTTCAGTCAGGAAACTATCAAACGAACATTATCAGTTTGTTTAACCATTTTGCAGCATGGCTAAAATATGACACAGAGCTAGGACTAAGACTAAGTATAAAAAAAAAATAAAAAAAAAGCTGCCAAAAATATGTATATATACATATATGTATATATGCATATTCAAAACACATTCACATGCACAGACACAACAAAATTACAAAAAAAACTTTTAACTATTATTAAAATATAAAAATAAAATCTAAATTAAAATAAAATGGTAAATACTAGTATAAAAGGTCAGGTTTTTTTCACTGATATGCCGTAATGCTTTTTGAATTGTCTTCTCTGTGATGGATGCATGTGATTTTGCTTTAGAATTAGGCATTTCAATAGGCAGCATAATCATGTTTCCTACGTTTTGGAACAGACTTTGTATCTATTATACCTGAAAATGTTGCCTATGTGGGCAACTAGCTAGGTCTTGTAGCAGCAACTTTTTTTATGGTCATATGTTGCAATAATGCTGAAAACAAATCAGGCCAATGTGGTCTTTAATGAAGTCCAGCTGCTTTGCTCCTATCAGGGCACAGATTATATTTCATCATTCATGACTGAACTTTTCCTGATCATCATGATTTTTCATCATCTTGTTTTTTTTTTTTACACATTTCATGATTTCATTTTTGTATCATATGCCATAATATGTATATGCATATATAATATATACTGTCTTTACGTAATATAAAAAAGTGTTTTCACTTAAGATAGCATATACACACAGTCTGTGTCCACACTGCAAGATTTTGAGAGTGACAGCCGCATCATTCTTTTGTCCTCAGCAAAAAGCCAAAGAAACCTCAGCGAAGACAAAACAATAATCGATTGAAACCCCTGACCCTGGCATATGACGGAGATGTGGACATGTAGCCTTTCTCGGAAAACTAACGTCATGAAAGTATCATCAGCAAATGGTTGAATCTCATGAAAACATGGGTCACATTATACCCCAAATTCTAATGAAAAAAAAATGCATAAAAGAAACAAAGTCTATTTTAGCACCTTTGTACATCATGATATTTTGAAAATGACATTATTTCTTTATTAATGAAAATTAAGCACTTTCTTCCTAAACTTTTTTTTTAACTGTCATGCATCTGAACAATTTCCTTTCAGTATATTTGTAATTATCAGTTTTGTCAATGGTGATTCTCTTTTTTTATTTAAATAAGAATAAACTAAATTCAGTATAACAAATATTATGATTTATTAATTTTTAATTAGTGAAATATAGTAAAATATAAGAGTTATTACTCTTACAGTAGTTTGTGCTTAATTCTCATAAAAATATCACATTGCAAATAGTCTTTAGGCATGAAAAAATATAATTTCTTATTTTTTTACCGTTTGTATTTGGGGTGAAGTATGACCCAGAAATGTTCTTGAGATTCACCCAAATACTCCTCCAAATGGGATATGCCTAACCATCTCAATACTGGACCCTAAATGCTTGAATGCAACCTTGAAGAAGAAGAAACATCCAAGAGCCGCAAACGAAAAACCTTCATACTTCATACTGTTTTTACTTCATGTTCTTGTTCTGGAAGAGCCTTTACACACATCTCCAAACGCTGTGAGATCATGCCTTTGTTTATATTCAGTTCCTTACAAGTATTTGTCAATTATGCAACTGCGGTCAAGCTAGTGGTCTTCTATGCGACGGGTCAGGACCTTATCAGAACAACTTTCTTCCGACTTGTGCTTCCCAGCTGAGAGGATTCATATTTTTGGAGGGAGTTATTGAACAGACAATGCCAAAACACACAGTAGAAAACACGGAAGGAAACTTGTGAACTTCAGATATCATGGACAACATTTGCTCACAGAAGATGCAGCCTTTCTATGGAAGGTGAAAACAAGACAAATCATGTTCTCCTGGAAGTCCCACTCTGATTCCAGGTATTATTTTGCACTATGTTAGTGCAGCAAGGAAAGCATTCGCCATTGAACAATGTCTCTAAACCGACGATTCTTCAAGGCAACCGAATATGAATCTGGAACACATCAATGAAAGTGTAAAAATCAATCTCAGAGTGGGACTCTTTAAAGACCTCACGTCCTTTTGTTTTCACTCATTTGTGCATTGTATAGTTTCTATGATGTGTCTTTTGACTGACTTTAAATATGTATTTTTTGTTATAGTTTTCCATTCAGACATTTTTTTAATATTAAATGGTCGCTATACAGTTGTTGGGAAAAAGTGGTTGTGACAGTATTATGACTTTTGATTGGGGATTTATGCCCCACTTTCAATGTCTGGTATCTAATTACACAAATGATGTACATGTCAAGACAGTGGGTCTCATGGGAAGACCGATAGTTTTTGCCTTATTATTGATTAAAAAAAAATACTGAAGTATTGTTGCCAATTCTCACAGGACAGTGGACATGCAAAATACAGTAGCCCTTCAAAGTATTTGGACACGGAAGATACACTTTAAAGGGGACATTGGATGAAATTTTCACTTTAGTTTTTTGCATTTAGTTATTTTTCTGGCATGTCTGCCAGCTAAGAAAAGCTGAAAAGAAAACACACAGCCAGTTTGTATGACATGTCCAGTGTAGTCCTATTCCCAAACGGATGAGTCTGGTGAACTGATACTTTATACTGAATCAGAAACATAAAATGTGACCAATATAGTCAGATCCCCGAGTGACTGATTCTTATGAGTCAGTTCTTTTTAGTGAATCAAAAACATACAACTTGTCCTTTGTTTTCCATTTCTCGAATGAATGACTCTTGTGAACCAATGCTTTATACTGAATCAAAAACCTATTATACAACCAGTGTAGTCAGATTCCAGAGTCACTGACTCTTACGAACTGGTTCTTTCTAGTAAGTCAAAAACATATAAAGTGTCCAGTGTAGTCAGATTCATGAACAAATGATTCTTATGAACCTATGTGTGACTATTATGAGTGAGTGTGTGTGTGTGTGTGTGTGTGTGTGTGTGTGTGTATTATAAACCAATATATATTATAATATATAGGCCAATTATTACATTGCATTTATGCTGCTTCTAAAAGGACTGTGAACACTCATCAGAAATACAAAACAGATTAGGTCATACATTTATTTTTGAAATCATGTAATTTTAAAACAAAGTGAATTTCACTCCGTTTGGTATTGTGTTATCTAATGCAAAGACATGAAGTGCGGCTGAAGTGTGCAAATACTTTCTGGGGTCATTGTACACCTGTAGCACTTTTGTTGGATATATATATATTGCTGTATAGTATTATGACATCATAAATATAAGCTGTCTCATGCACTTGCAACAAACGTACAAAGCCATCACACAGTACGGTTTTTGACGTTTTATTATTCAGCAGATTAAATAGTATTCAATTTTTATATCCTTAATTTATTTTCAAATGGTTATACATTACCCTTCTTTCCCTAAAAAATTACAAAATGCAATGAAAATAAAATACAGTGTGTATGTATTCATGAAATTTGATTTGATTTGAACTGGTTTAAGATGGTTCACACTGATCTGTAGAAAACCAGCAAACCACCTTACTTTCCTTTAACTGAAAAGCCCTCCTATTTATATAATAATCGTTAATGACGGATCTTGATTGCATTAACAGCTGCAAGTAGATGCAAATACATGCTGCTGCCTAGTTTAATTTCTGTCAGTGATACTTTAGTGGAGGAATTCTAATTTAATGGTTGGTTAAGAATATCATATGAAGGAACATACAGTATTGGTCATCAATGTTCAATTTGCTGTGATCAATAACTGTTCAGAAACGTCAGCAATTTTGCCAATCATGTTTTCAGATGAAAAAAAATTTTTTTTTTTGAGAAAGTATTAACAAATTAGTCTCATGTATTGTACTTCCAATTGCAATTGATCATTCACAGTGCTTTTAGAGTGTTCTCCAGTATTCATCAGACCAGCACTTCTCATCAGATAGTGTTAATATTGTAATATTCCAGCATGGTAAGCTGAAGAACCAGAAGTAGTATTTTGTTTTCGACTTGTGTCTCTCCAGTCGTGCCTCCTCCTCTCGCTGTATAAGATCCACCTCACACCTCAGACTGAAGATCGATTTGTCTCTAATTGAAATAAAAGGCAACGTGGTGCTCGAACCTCAAAAGGATCAATGCTTTTTTATATAAATATATAAGTGTGACTGTAAGTGTCTGACCCCTGGAGATAAAGATCCAATATACGAATTCTGTGAAAAGAGCTATTGAGTTGATTTCATAAGTTTCGATTTTGGGGGGGTTTCTGTTTTTTTCACCTGGATATGTTCAATGGAATTGCTCCAGTGTTGCAGTAACTCTGCCTTCATCTGATTACGGCACTGTTTATGTTTTTACCCATGATCCATGGAGTTAAATCACGACTTACTGATTTATTCACTAATATTCTCAACACAATCATGGATTCTTTTTTAACTTTAGTCGGACAATGTTTTCAGAGGTAGCATCTCCCTCGAATGTTTCAGATGAGTTACAGTATGTCATGAATTCATCCTTGCGGGTGAATTTCATTCCTCTTTTCACTGACTTGCTGACTGCACTGTACAGAGTGAAAAAAATACAGGCCTTTCTATACAGTCCTTAGAAATGCTTTCAAAGGTGTAGCATAAGCATATTATTTTATAAAAAGTATCTTTTTTAATCATTTATTTAAAAAAATTATTTATATACTGTATACAGTGGTGTGAAAAAGTGTTGGCCCCCTTCCTGATTTCTTTTTTTTTT